AAGAAGAAGGTTCAGAAAGTGCTCGACATTGCGACAGGAAGCGGCTTGTGGGCCATGTAAGTTCTCCCGCATGTTTTTTTTGTCAAGTTCGAGCCATTGTGTAATCGATCACTGCAACTGTGAGGGCAAAATGAAGAAATCAGAGCCACATGCCAGGCATCCCAGTCTTTGAAGACCAACAAGATTCTTGGACGTCCAAGCGGCGTCAAGTGCCCATGCCCAACCGTCACCAAAAGTCGTCATTTTGAACCTCAAAAGAACAAAAGATCATACCATTTCTTTTCTGTCGTATCGGTCCCTTTACCCCGGAACAAACCCTAACCACTACCCTTGGTTGCCCGAGGAGACAGATCTTCATGGCGAACTTTTTGTCATACCGTCGTGGTGATCGATTACACAGTTGCTTTGATCACATCGCTCAGGACTTAGATTGAGTCCATGCTAATTAATACCTCATCTCTATCTTAGTGATTTCGCCGACGAATTTCCCAATGCCGAGGTCATTGGAACTGATGTTTCGCCTATTCAGCCTTCCTGGGTACCCCCTAACGTAAAGTTTGAACTTGAGGACTGCAATTCGGACTGGACCTATGCCGACGATAGCTTCGATTTCATTCATATGCGGGCGTTGGCAGGCATTGTTGATGACTGGTATAAAATCTTCCGTAACGCTTTCCGGTGTTGTAAGCCGGGCGGTTACGTGGAAAGTATGGGTACCAGTATCAATGTATTGAGTGATGATGGATCTGTGAAGCCAGGTAGTGCCATGGATCAATGGGGCAAGGTTTTCGAAGAGGGTGGCAAACAGCTAGGCAGAGTCTTTACGGTATATGAGGATGACTTACAACGTAAGGGTATGGAGGCGGCCGGATTCGTCGATATTGAGTTCAAGGACATTCAGTGCCCAGTAGGAGTTTGGCATCCGGAAAAGAAGGCGGCTGAAAGAGGGCTCTGGTACAAGCTGGCTACCGAAGCTGATATGGAAGGTGAGCTTTACCCCTACGACCGTGTGTTAATATCACACTAACCCTGTACGGCAGGATATCTCAACTACATCTTCAACCTTGTCATGGGCTGGACTCCAGAGGAGACCAAAACCTTTGCTGCACAAGCTAAGAAGGATTTAAACAATCCTGGGATTCACAGCTATTTTTGGTTCCGTGTGGTGTACGGTCGTAAGCCGGAATGAAGTGGAGGATGGGAGTGTTACACATCCAAAGGGCTATTGTGACAAGGGCAGAGTATGGGC